GTCCAACTGAGTTGATCTAATTGTTAAATTTAGTTATCTAATGATGTGCAATACATATACCAAATAATACGGTGGTAGATTTGGTGACATGGAAATCAAACATAATAATGCTATGTGAATTACCTAGTAGTTCAATTTAAAAATCATGTATTGAATTTTAAAAATATTGTATTTAAAATTTAAAATTTAAAATAATCTTTAAATATTTTTAAAAATATTAAAATATTAAATTTATAGCATATTAATATAATGTAGGAATCCTCTAGTGTATTTAATATTAAATCACACCACTTTTAAAATAGCTTTTTATGAATACAGAAATTAATATAATGACATTCCTAAGATTAAGAAAAATGAAATGTTCATGTGAGTCTTGCATATTATATATAATCTAAGCAATAAAACAAAATACTTTATATGTTTGCAAGAGCATGTGAGGAGGGATTGAGGTGCTTTTGCAACAATGACAGAGTTTGTTAATGGTGCTTCAATAAAGGAAAGTGTTAGTTCTTTTTACTATATTATAAAAACATAAAAAAAAGTACCAGTTGAATAAATAATTTATTTTTGTTACATATGGTTCTTCTTAATAGTAGTGTTATTTCTGTTTAGTATTATTTGTTAATCCAATTGAGCAATCAGAAATTTATTATTATAAGCATGTTTATAATTTATAAATACAAGATTAGGAAGTGTGTAAAAAATTTTATTATTTATAAATATAATATTAATATAAATGAATAACAACAAATATTCAAGCCTAGGTTTACTTAATCAAACCAAAATATTAATAATATATAACTAAAATATATTTGATTTTTAGAAAAAAAAACTCCAAAAGCGAAAGCAAAATATTCATAATTCACCCATGTTTTCACAAGAAGCTCAAGAAGATCTATTGGGAACCCTTTATAATGCTGCTGAAGGGAAGATGCATGTACAGAAACATTGGGAGTACAAGCACGATCATCACACGAATTTGCACTAGATTAATTCTTATGCAAATAATCACTCCTACGCCCTAGTATGAGCAGCTCAATCCTTGAAGGTCTAAGAGAAAAAAATTCTTCTCACTTCTTTCTTTGATGCGCAGGCTTTCATACCCAGTCTTAATGTTCATGGGACAAAAGCTGATGCTCTGCAATACAAATAAGATCCACTATTAGGAGCCAAAGTTTCCTTAAACAAAACCCAAGAAGAATCAAGAAGAATCTGGATCGCCCTTAGAAACACGCTAATGAAGCGAGGACGCGAGGACGAGAAACTAGGAATCACCTCGCGCTCGCGGCTCCAAGAAAGAGCCCGTATTGATGTACACGCACTCAATGTGCCTCCTCACAAGTGCTTCCCTTTCCACTTCCTGATTGCTTCCTTCTCCAATTCTTGAATCTTGATTGTTTCCTTGGCAAGGTAATCCATTCATCAACATCGTCTCCATCACTGCGGAGAACAAGGGGGAGCAACAAACGATCGACAAGTTCGACACAGGTTTTGTTCCAGGCTATGCTCAGTTGTGAGTTGCGAATGGTTTCTCCAATAGTCAAGTAAGCAATTCTATATCTATGTGCTATAGCTTAACACGTTTTTATGCTTTACAGCCTTTTTGGAGAGGGATGCAGAGGCGACCGGCAAGGACATTCGGTGCTTGCCTCTTTGTTTTTTGGACTTTGCGACGTCATTCAAACGACTGCAACGAAGATCGCACGAGTGCTAGATCTCCAGGAGGATTTTCAGCGGCATTCTGGAACCAAACGGGTGAAGATCTCTCTCCCTGCTGTTTCCGCCATGTCTCAACGTGGCGGAGTTCATGGGAGGTGAAGATCTGATTCAACAGGATGATCCAGGTTTACAGGGTTCTCAAGACTCTCAGAAATCCGAGAATGGAGGCCCGGACCTTGGTGATGGAGAGACTGGGTGGGGTTTCTGCGATCTCGGCTTCTATGTAGAGGGTCAGGCGCCGAGAACGAAAGAGCCATTAACGAGCTTTCAAGAGTTTGATCCGCAGAAGCTCGTTCTCCAAGTAGAAAGGAAATGGTTCCATGACGATGCTGCGAACCATGGACTCTTCCAAGGACGTCGCAGGAGATGACAAGGAACCTGTTCGCGGGGCACAGAACTCCGGTTTATGACTTGGTTCTGTGCTCGGATATGTGGACATATGGAAAACTGGAAGTGAGAGGACTCATCGCAATGAGAAACGATGAAGTCGACAAGGACTCGTTTGCACGTAAGTGTCTTTCATTAATTTCACCGAGTGAATTCTCTTTCCCAGAGTTCCAACTGATGGAGAAAAACTTGAATTACCCTGTGGAGAGCTTGGACGCGCAATTGAAGAAAAGAATTGCGTACAATGAGAAACGTTTTAAAAAGCCAATTGTGTACCCGGACAGCGACTCTCTTGTGGGGAACTTGTTTGTCTCCCCGGAGGTAAGGCTTGCTTTCATCCCACAATCTTGATCTTATGTACGTGACTGTGCCTCTCCCGGTGGTTTGAGTTGCCGGCACCCGGGAATTTCCACTCCCGAAGTGGAAGACGCTTTTATGAGAGTAGTGATGGGGGATGGTGTTGCCCCCTGGAAGCCAGCGGATCTCCAAAAGATGATCGTGCTACAGAAACATTGTTGAGGAAATGAGCTTTATTCGCAGGGGAGCCCCTCCCTCAGCGTAAGTTTCTCCTTTTTTATTTTTTTTCCTCGCGAGTGGACGCTAATTTCATTCTCCCCGTGATTGGTTTGCAGATCGTAGCTGCAAGGCTGGTGCTGGTGGCACCAAGGTGGACTGATCTAACAAAGGCTGTTTTCTAGGTTTGGTCGAGGTATTTTGTTTTCCTGCTTATATAACTAGAAAAGAAATATATAATCGTTTACGTGACAATAACGTGTACACTAATACTACAAATCTTTACTCTCAATTGGTTTGCCTAGATTCTCATCAACAATGCTGGCTGGAATATGGTTTACAAGATTTAGATAACTACAAGATAAGAGAACAAGTTGACAAGTGAATATATAATATATAACACAAACGTTTACGTGACAGTAACGTGTAAACTATCATATTACAAATCCTTACTCTTGGTTTGTAGCACCAGTTGCAACTTGTGCTTGATCAGGATCAACACCAGCACCACCGACACCCATATTCATGTACCAGATGCTCGCATTCAGCGCAAGCGCAAACAAGATCCACGCCAAATACACCTGCATGAGATTGGCAGCGACGTGGTTGACGGGCTTAAACGCAGCAATGCACGCAAGCACCACCACCACCAGCACCACTATATCCGCCAGCGCCAACAGGGGATTATGGAGCCCAAAGAAGGCCGCGCTCCACAAGAGGTTAAGCCCCAACTGAACCACGTAGAGAGTGAGAGGGTAGGACTGCTTGTGCCAGCCCCCGTTGGCCCAGACAAGCCACGAAGCCAGCCCCATGAGGGGATAGATGGCGCTCCAAACGGTCCCAAACAGCCACCCCGGTGGATTCCAAGAGGGCTTCTGGAGATTTGCGTACCATTTGTCCGGGCCGAAGAGGAATCCAATCGCGGCGCCCAGGAGGAATGGCGCTGCCACTGCGATTGCGAGCGATCGAACGCCGCCGCGCTGCTGCTGCCGCTGGGGGCTCTTGCCGTGGTATTTGTCCTCCTCTGGCGCAGGATCGCTGAGCTTGTCCAGCGATCTCTTGCTCAGGCCCTCGGTTGACTCCATCGCTGTATGATCTAGCAAAGAGAGAGACCGCGCGAGCCTGAAGGAGATTTGCGAGAGAAGATTAGGGAGAGAGAAGCTGAAGAGCCCTAATGCGCTGGAGCTCTTGAAAACGCATAGAGTGACACATGTCGCGCTGCATGCTCATGAGTAGCCACGTGGCAAACTTGCCACTTGTCACCAACAAGCCTCTGCCGCGTCAGTTTTAGGGCAAATGGAATCTAGGGCTCTTCAAATTTATCCTTCTTCCTGGCTACGAGTTTAATCTATTCTTGCAACGCTGTAGATCCTTCATCACCGCCTCCAGCGCATCCCGGAGCCGTGAATTCACGGCGCAGTCGGCCATCTCCATCGCTTCTTTCATCTTGCAATCGATCATACAGTTGATCCGGCGGAGCACTCTCTCCGATGTGCAATCCGTGATGTCCATGAGCTTGCTGGCCACCACCGAGTCGATGGCGCGCTCGATGCGATCTCCCAGTCGGTCGTCCAGCGCGCTGCGCAGCTGCCCCATCTTGTGGTCCACCTCGCTGTCCACCAGGATCCGGATGCGATCCACCGGGCCGCTGGGTGAGGACGATCGATCGCGCGATTGGGAGGAAGAGCACGGGTGCTCCGGGCAGCAGTGGTGATCCGTGACGCTCACCGTGACGCGCTCGGGGGATCGGCTCCTCGCCCGGATTGTGATGTGATCGATGTCTCTCTCGCTGGCGCGGATGGTGATTCGATCGACCTCTTGATCCTCGGCGGAGGTATTGGAGGCAGTGCTCGAGTGGGGATTGGAGACTGGGGGATTGTAGGGGCGAGGGAGAGAGGAGTCGATCAAAGAGATGGATGACTGATCGCACTGGCCTGCGGGGCAAACCTCGCGGTATGTTCTTGGCAGCGATGGGCCGCCACTCCACTCCAGGATGTGGCTGTCCTTGCAATCTGGGCACACATTGTCGTCGAGATACTCGGGGTCGGGATCCGCCGGGCCGATCAGATCGATCGCGTCGCGGCTGGAAGCGATCTCTCTGTGGCAATCGTGGTGGTGGTGGTGGCAGCAGTGGCTCGGCCCGTCGTCGACGTCGCTAAACGTGACGGTGGCGTCCATGTCCAGTGGCGTGATGATTCGTACGCTGGCGCTCCACCCATCGTCCTCGTCGCTCTCGTCGCTGTCCATTGCCTTCTAATCCTCTTGCCGTGCCCTAAACTTTGAATCAGTGCCTTGGAGGAGGCACGCTGACGTGGCAGCATTCAAGTATTGGAACCTCTAAAAGATTTCAAGGTTAGTGATTTTATTTACATTCGATGACAAGGAGTACTCTGAGAGCCCTGACAATACTTGTATGTACAGAAACTTCTCTCGGTCAGAAGTTGAGGAAGCCGTTGACTTCGTCCTCAGTAAGCAACTCCGAGTAGTTGACTTTGGTCACAGCAGTCGTCTGCTGCTGCTGCTCCAGAGTTTTCCTCTCAAAACACCACTCCAAATCCTGTGGAACCACCGCATCCCTGCTCGCAAAGCTCAAATCGCTGGAAAAGTCACTGAAGTTGAGTTGGTAGGGCTTGAAAGTGGCCTCACCATTCCCATCCCAATCACCATCGCCATCACCATCTCCGTCGCTCTCCTCTTCCTCATCTTCGTCACCATTCTCATTCTCGTCGTTCTCATACACATTTTCATTCTCACTGCCACCATCTTCTCCCTCTCCATTGTCGTCCACGCTGCTCGTATTCACATCATCTTGCGCTTGTTGATGATCATTGTCCGCCACCCCATTGTTTACATCGGATTCCGCACTACTGTTATACACATACAAGACACCCTCAAACCTCGCCATGAGTCTCACCCGAGCTCGCGTGAGTATGTGGAGCTCCTCCGCTTTCTTTCTCGCGCCCTCCCACCTCTTCCTGAAAGTGTTCCTCCGCTTGGTTTCTTGCCTGATGTACGCCAAGTCTGTCGGCTTCCTCCCCATTTTCCCTCGAGGGTTTGCCAGGCCTATTTTTACACTGATAATATGCTTTTCTTGGGGATAAGAAAGGGGTTAAAGATTCACTCCTCCTGGTCAAACTTGGATTTTCCAATCCCAACGTAGAGAAATTTGTCAAAATAAACTGGCTTGACTAACAGCGAAAAACACGCATTAGAAGAAAAGAAAGGCCCATGGCAGCTGCAAAGATGGAGAGAATACGCTCGGGAACATAAAACTCGCAATCGTGAAAAATATGGGTTTTGGGGAGAGACGCGTAGAGCTACGAGTCGGACAAGGTTCTTTAGCTGTACGATCGTACAAAAGCTTGCATTGGCGTTTTTTATATGGTTTTTGCAGAGAGAGACGTGTAGAGCTACGAGTCGGACAAGGTTCTATAACTGTACGAAGTGTGTCGTACCAAAGCTTACCTGTGGAAGATTTCAATCGAAAAACGTAGCTCTATGGTTGAAAAAAGCAGCTCTGACGCGAGCGAGCGGCCGCCATTTTGGTTTGCAAAAGTCAGCTTCTATGAGCAGCCACTCGTCGAGTATAAAACGAGCCAAACACTCTTCCTTTGCGGTCATCGAACTCGCTCGTCTCTCACGAATCGGTCGATTGTCTTTGTAGTTCTCTGTGATCTCTGTGATCTCTGTGATCTTTCGCGTGACCCGGGTGATCAAGATGAAGATGGTGCGAGGAAGAGTTTCGGCGACGATCAAGGCGCCTCTGTCGGCGGCCTGGAGCGTGGCCTCGGATTTCTTCTCGCTGCACCGGTGGGTTCCAAGCATCCAAGAGTGCTACGAGATCGAGAGGAACGTGAGGTTTTGTCGGTCCTATCCGGATGCTCGAGGTTTGTCGATCTCGGTCAAGGAAGAGCTCATCTATCTCGATAACTGGAGCCACTCCCTGGCTTACAAGATCGTCGATGGCAACATGGGTCTCGAGGATTACACCGCGACGGTGAAGCTCACGGCGCTGGGCGAGGGGTGTTGCTTGATCGAGTGGAGCTTCACGATGAGCTCCAGTAGCTCCAAGAGCAAACAAGCGCAAGAGGAGTTCCTGGCGTATGGGATTCGCAACCTGGAGAAGGCGGCCATGGGGTCTTAAAAAATGCATTATCCGGGAGTCGAACCCGGACCAAGTCTTTAGAAGCCAACTGTTCCGACCGTTGACTCTTCTTAGTATTAATAATAATTATTAATACTAAACACATAATGTTTACTTTAAACAATCTTAGTAAAGGTATAAAAGCCTTAAAGAATTACAATGAGATTCGCCATCTTTTCTCTCTCTTTCATTGGCTCGAAAATAAACTTTAAAGAAGTCTATTAAAGTGAGTTTGACTTACATGGTTTTATTTTTTAATCACCTAACCATTTCATTTTGTGTAATCCAGCCATACGAGAGGTTTCAACCAGGTAAAGGTAGCATCCAGAAGGCCTTCTCTTCTCTAGCTTCTAGGGTTTGTGCTTCTCCAATCGATGGATCCTTCTCTCACATTGCGCCTTCTCACAGATTCCAGCAGTGTCGCCGATGGCGGGATTCAGGAAGAAGAGCGATCGCGAAATGTGGACGATTTCTCCGCGAGCGATGGACTCGGATTCAAGCGGACGCTCCACTTCATCTATGCGGCGCATTTTCTTGCGCGATGGGGGGCCGGGTGAGTTCTTCGCTCAAGATCGATCAGAGGTTTAAGATTTGATTCCTGTGTTCGCCCAGGATGTGGGATTTCTATGTGTCGCTCTTTATGATAAGCATTTGGCCCAAGTCTTTGGTGCTCACGGCGGTGTATGGTCTCGGGGAAGCTCTTAGCATCGCTGTGTTGGGTGTCTACGTTGGAGAATGGATCGATAAAACGTTTCCCTTGACAGTAAGTGATCCTTGGTCTTTTTTTTCTTCAAGTTTTGTGATTGCCAGAGATGATCAAAGCTTCACATCTGACTTCCACTCGATGCAGGTGATACAAGTCTCGGTTGGACTACGCAATGGCTCTGTTCTTGTTGCATCCTTGCTGATGATCCTCCTTCTTTTGCGGCCCATCAAAGCCCTGCCGGTGTTCTTTGCTACTGTTGGTGTGATCGATATCTTCGGTGCTGTTGGCTCTCTCGCTGGGCTCGGTTGCAACATCCTCTTGGAACGAGACTGGTATGTAAGTTGACATTGTTTAAGCAAGCAGTGGGGTGAACTTTCACGATTTTGTGACAGGGTCGTGAGCATTTCACGTAGAAGACCCGACTTACTCGTGGAGATGAACACGACAATGAGACGCATCGACTTGGCTTGCAAGCTTCTGGCTCCAGTTTTCGTTGGAATCCTCATGAGCAGCGTCTCGCTTCTAGCTTGCATCGTCCTCATTGCCGCCTGGAACTTGCTTTCACTGGGAGTGGAGTACTGGCTTCTCGTCTCGGCTATTTCAGCCATCCCAGAGCTCATTGAGAGCGTTTCCGCTGTCAACCAAGAGGACACCGAGAATCTAACAGCCGGCGAAAAACCTAGCGATCACCGGGTAGAGCAAAGCACAGAGGAAAAGTTTTCTCTGGTACAGGGATGGTGGATATATTTCAAGCAAGAGCCTGTGCTTGCTGGTGTGGCTCTAGCTCTTATTTACTTCACAGTCTTAAGGCAAGCTCCTCGATTCTCTTTTTCCATTTTTCTGTGGCTTTAATTTTTTGTTTCTTCTTGTTTTTCCAGCTTTGGTTCGCTGATGACCGCAGCTTTGCAATGGAAGAAAGTACCGGCGTATGTGATCGGCCTTGCTCGAGGCGTCTCAGCGTGTGTGGGAGTCGCTGCTACTTGCTGCTATCCTGTAATGCATGCGAATCTCCAAACCGTTCGAACTGGGCTTTGGTCGATCTGGATGCAGGTAACAAAACTATTTCTAAAGTCTAGTTCTCGATTTTGGGTCTAACTTTGAGCGCTTCTTTTCATTGTCTCAGTGGTCTTGCCTTTTGATTTGCGTGGCTTCGATCTTCATCAACACGCCGGCACTTTCTTCGGCGCTGCTCATCGTCGGCATCATCGCCTCTCGTTTCGGATTGTGGTCGTTTGATCTGGCAGTCACTCAGCTTATGCAGGTAAGCTATTCTTCTCGTTTTTTTTTTTATTGCTTCGTGTTCTAATGTCCTTCCTTCCTTGAATTCAGTCTAGCGTTCCGGAGAGCGAGCGTGGAGTTGTCGGTGGCGTTCAAAACTCCTTGCAATCGTTTCTAGAAATGCTCTCCTTTGTCATGGGTATGATCGTCGCGTCTCCTCAGGTAATCCAATAAATTTTTTTTTCTCTAGTTTCTTCTCCAACTATTTCTATGATGTTTCTTTCATTCCAGGAGTTTGGATACCTAGTCCTTGTATCGTTTGGTTCCGTGACTGCTGCAGCGCTGCTCTATACAACTTACACTTACCAAGTTCGTGGCCATCTCTTTCATTTTGATAAGCTATTGTAAATCCATCGATTTCTCGATCAGGTAATCAATCAATCTCAAACTTTAGCTCCAAACCTCCATTCTAACTTTCCCTACACGTGGCATTTTCGTGTCTTGTCAGCCGGTGGATCAAACCGGCGGCTGGATCAGGAGGGTCGAATATTCCCTGCCCCTTTAAACGCGCTTGAATTACACCCCTTGTTAGGGTTTGGGGCCATTCGCCAAAGGGGAAGAGTGAAGGACGCGCAGCGGCTCGTCGGCGCCAGGGCTCCCTCTTTTCTCTCCGCGAAGATCCGGAGGACCAATTCGCGCTAGGCGCTCGCCGCTCCATCTCCATCTGATTGTTTTGTTCTAGGGTTCTAGGAGATTCTTTTGTTGCCTTAGATCGCTCCAGGATCTCTGCTGTGTTTCATTCTTTTTCGTTCCATTCTCTAAGAAAAAAAAAGAAAAAAAAAAAGGCTATGGCTGTTTATTACAAGTTTAAGAGTGCCAAAGACTACAGCGCTGTTCCTGTTGAGGGCCCCTTTCTATCCATTCTCCAGCTCAAGGAGAGGATTGTTGACAAGATGAGGCTCGAAAGGCCTCCAGATTTTGATCTCTTGATTTCCAATTCGCAAACTAACGAAGGTTTGATAAACTTTTCTACTCTTTTTTTCGATTTCGTTTCTTCTATCTTTTCGAGCTTCGCCTGATCTGGGTTTCATCTCGGGCTTACGTGTTTGTGGGTTTTTGGAAAAATGTGTGTGCTCGCAGAGTATGCCGACGAAGGATTTCTCGTGCCCAAGAACACGTCGGTGCTGGTTCGTCGCGTTCCAGGGACTTTTCGAGTTCGAGTTCCCGTCATCACGGAGCCCAAGCCAGAGTAAGCATTTTTTTTTCACCGCTTTTATGACTCTGGAGTATTTGGCAGGCCCAAAGTTGTGGAGGAACTCTTGAGCAAGGTGGAAAATCCTGTCAAGACGACCACTGTAAGTTTCGAGTCTTTCGTTTTTGTCAATCTTTTTTTCTCATGAGAATCCTTTGCCTTTTGTCCAGTCCGATTGGAGCGATGATTTTGGTGTCGACTTATACGAGGACCCGCAAACCTCGAAGGCCCAACAAGTTCCGCAAGCTACTGTTCCTGTGGCTGATGCCGCGGCTAAAGCCGAGGAAGAGGCAAAGATCAAGGCGTTTTGCGACGCGTCGGCCTCCGAGTGGCAAAGGTATCGTGGTGTGTCTTGACGTTGAAGGCTTGTTTTGTATTTTAACTCTCGTGCGTGGCAGGCAAACACAGCAAGCTTTTGTGGGAGGCAGAGGTCGTGGTGGCGGCGGACGAGGAATGGGAAGAGGTTTGGACGATTTTTTTCTTTTTGTTGCTTTTTTTTTTACGCGCCTTCTGCTTTTCTAGGCACGGGCTTCATGAGAAAAACTCCTCCGGATGGTTATGTTTGTCATCGCTGCAATGAACCAGGTAAAGCTCATTCTCTTGCAGAGGGTTTTTTCTTTACCGGTTATTTCTCGTGGTTACAGGCCATTACATCCAGCATTGTCCTACAAACAAGGATCCCTCGTACAACATTAAGAGGGTCAAGCTTCCTACTGGCATTCCCAGAACTATGCTTGTAGCGAACCCCGATGGCTCTTATGCGATGCCGAATGGAGAGATCGCTGTTTTGCGGCCAAACGAGTACGTGACGTACATGCGCACTTCACTTTCCTGACATGTATATCACATGTTTTTGCACCTTTTGCAGAGAGCTTTTTGAGAAAGAAGTGGTTTCACTAACGTCAAATAAAGTTGTCAACGAGGTTCCTCCGGAACTCCGCTGCCCCTTGTGCAAGGACGTTCTTAAGGACGCCGTGTTGACGAGTAAATGCTGCTTCAAGAGCTACTGTGACAGATGTAAGCTTCAATTGCGAAGAATTCAGTGCCAGTGTTTTTTAACGTCCTGGTTTTGTAGGCATCCGAAATGAGATCATTTCCAAAGGCAAATGCGTCTGTGGAGCGACACATGTGCTTGCCGACGACCTCCTTCCAAACAAGACATTACGTGATGCGATCGAGAGGCTTCTGGAATCAAACGCGGCCACGAGCAGCACCGAGAATCATGGCAGCAAGGTTATTCTTCCTGGTAAGTTGTGTGTTTTGAGTCGAGAAGATTTAAATCTAATACATTGTTCACAGATATGGAGTCAGTGTTGCCTCTAGCAAAAGCAGCCTCTCCTGTTCTATCGGCCTCAGTGAAAGATCAATCGCAGACCTTGGAAAAGGCTGTTACGACGGAGGTGAAGGATGCCCCTCATAAAACTCCGGCTCCGGAAGCTAGTGCGCAAGGTGACGAGGCAGAGGTGGAGTCGGCCAGCTTGAAAGACGCTCCTCCGGATGGAAATACCAACGAAGAAGGAAATCCGGGTCAGCAAGCGAAGAAGAACAAGCCGAAGCGAGTGCGCCCGCCAAAGCAGACTCCTCTAGGTACTTTTTCCTCGATTTCGATGCTCCGGTTTTTTCTTACTGACTTGGTAAACTAAACTATTCAGGCCAGCAAATGCCGTGGATGCCTGACGGAATTGGACCTTATGGAGCTCCTTTCTGGGCCCCTCATCCAATCGGAGATGGTTTTATGATGCCTTACGGAGGGCCTTACAATGGTGGCTATGGAGTTCCATTCGACGTCCCGTTTAATGGACCTCCTTTGCTGCCGGATCCATATGCTTACGCGGGAATGGTTCCGCCACCTTTTCCTCAAAGGTACTTGTGTAGATCGTCTTGGCTTGGTTCTTTTGCTTCTCACACTCACTTTAAATTGTTTGCAGAGACTTTGCTGAGTATCCGCCATACGGGAAGTATCCTCCGATGAGTTGCGAGGAATTCGAGGCCAAGAAGGCGGAAGCGTGGAGAAAGCACGAGCATCAAAAGAGGTAAGCTTAGCATTCAGAGTTTGGCTTCACTGGCTAAAAACGTTCACAGCAGGGATCAAAACGGGGACGACAGTTCCTCGAGGAAGCGCCGGAGCGAGGACTACGATTACAGGGAAAGAGATTCGGAGCGCAGAGATACCAGCAGGGATAGAAGGTCGAGCCACCATGAAGGTCACAGCAGCGCAGGCGAAAGACACAAGCCATCGTCGGATCGAGATCGAAAGCGAGAGCAAGATCGAGATCGAGGCGAGAGTTACAGATCGAGAAGTACTTACAAATCATCCTTGTCTCGCGAGGAATCAAAGCGCAGGAGAGGAGAGGAGGAGCCATCGCCTTCGTCGAGGAGAGTGTCGGTGTTTCTAAGGGTGAAGCAGGAGGAGCAAGAGCGCAGTAGAAGCCATGAAAGCCACCATCGCCACCACCACCACCGCCACCATGTTGACACCACCACGGTGGAAAAAGATAATGAACCCGTGAAAAGTGTCTTTTCTAGGATAGCTCCCAAGATGTAAAAAAAATGGAAAACGGTGTAAATAAAATGCGCGAATATTCTTTGAGAGAGGTGTTTGGAGTTTGAAATTTGGATTCTATTAATAAGAAAGTCAACAAATTCGTTTTATCGCTTGGTCAAAATCAATGCAATTTCCGCAGCAGACACCTTGATTTGCTGCACTAACACATGTTTCACGGCAGATATGTTGACATGCTGCAGTAGTAGCCATACCAATCTGCAAGGCATCACTATTAAGAACTCCACAGCCACCACCGCCAACGCAAAACCCAAACTCAAGACAATTGCGCCACCACCGCAAAACAAGGTCATGCCCAGAGTGAAAACCAAAAGGCGATACCCGCCCTCATAACAGGCCACAAAACATAGTACCGCAAGGACACGGACAAGTGTAATTGTGTCGTCCACCAAACTCATCTTCATAAAGCTCATCTTCACTTCTCTGGTCTTTTTATCATCTCTGTCATTAGCTTTAGCTTGAGCTCTCCCACAAAAAGCTCGTCGGTTGTTTCTTGGAAAAAAGAACCAATCTGAGATCAAATCTTTAATAAGACCTAGTCTTACCTTGCAACAAGCTTCGCTCCAATGTTCTTCCTAGAAACATTGAGTCTTGTAGCACTGTGTACAGAACTTGATGCTACAAGACTTGGTCCGCACACCACAATTTGTCTGGTGAGAGCTGACATAGTGACCCTAAACCCTGAACCCCACCTTATTATGGTTATGAAATTGGTGTAAAAGCTTGCAAAGAACCAAAAAAGATGGAGAATATTCGACCTTTTTCAACGGTCGCGATGGTTGGTAAGGAGATCAAGAAAGAAGAGTCCGCCGCCCAATGCAGCCACGGTATCGCCAGTGACGTGACGGTACTCATCCTCTCGCGGCTACCGTTGCGCGACGTCGCGCGGTGCAGTGCGGTATGCCGTGCGTGGCGGGAGCTTACCATCGAGCCATCCATCCGGCGAACGTCGGCGTCGCGTGAAACAGCCTGGCTCTTGCTGCACAAACGTGGGCACGAGAGGCCCAGCGGTGGGAAAGAGCAGCTGGTGGCGTACAGCGCGGCATGCCGTCAGTGGTTCTCGCTGGGCTCTGTCTCGGGCTTTCTTGGAAAGAAATGCCAGTCGCGGTGGATCGGTCCCTGCCTTGCCACCAGCGCACACGGGCTAGTGAGCTGCGTCTACAGCGCGTCGCCTACAAAGCCCGCCGCGCTGGCGGTATTCGACCCCATGACGCCCGCGTCACTCCGCGGTACCGCGCGGCGCATTTTGTCGGTCGATGAGGGGTTTTCTATCATTGAGGCTCTCGCGATGTGGAAGAAGAGCGGTGGTGGCTATGGGATCGTCTTGGCGGGACCGATTTCTCTGTGGGGATCCAACTGGGGTGTTTGCCTCTTCGATCTAGCAGATGCCAAACTATCCAAGGCGAGAAGATCAGTGGCGAGCGTGGATGCGATCACTACGCGAGGATTTTTGAGCTTGCTGTGCTCGGCGCTACGCGAGGATGGGAGTGGTTTCTGTTGCATCTGGGGGGTGAGCTCCACGCCTCAAATCCTCGCTCAATTCGACATCCAGGACAATCTTTGGCGGATCATCCACGGTTTCTTCCCGGATTCCGTCTCCTGGCAGATCGCCGCGATCACAGATTCCAACCAGCGCCGATTCACGGCCCAGGTTCATTCAAATCTCCTAGTTTCTAGAGAAAGATTGCTACTTCTCGTCTTGCGCGAGTCGATCGCGAGCTTTGGACTGCAAATCTGGAGTACAATCTGGAAGCTGGGCCCGGGCCTCGTGGTCCAGTGCCGAAGCCCATCCCGTTTGCAATTGCCAGTGATATAAACCCAAAAACCTGTTAAGCAATTTTCCCCTTTTTCATACCTAGGGTTTACTTGCATTCTCTATCAATGGAAGGGAGCGCTAATCTCGGTTTGGGTCTGCGGCGCCCCAGCTTCCATGGAGGTATAGCTACTCTTTCTATTGACTGATGCTGTATTTTTGGCTTTCCAGCTCGGAATAGCTCGATCCGACAAGGACAAAGCTGCAGAGGTATTTTTTAAGCTCTCACACTCTTATCTCGGTGTTTGTTTCACAACAGCCAAAACCGGAGCAAGCTTGTCTATCCATTACCCACAAGAGATACAGTGCCGCAGCGCATTTAACCCAAGTATTAAATGCTCTCCCTTTCTTCATTCAAGCTAATGCTATTTGATTGCAGCGTGGACACGAAGTCCCACTTGGACACGACGAGATCTGCAGTCCCCACCGCTGACCCGAGGCTCGTTTCCCACCTGGACGCGACGAGATCTGCAGTCCCCACTACTGACCCGAGGTATCCCTTTACATTGTTTAATAAAGAATGTATCATGTTTGTGTGTGTGCCTCATAATACCAGATGTACCCAAAGTTGGAAATGGATACACAATGGCCATCTTTTCATCGCTTCCAGCATGGCCTGCATCCATCCTGTCATCAATTCTGGCGTGGCTTGTTTCATCGATTCAAGTGTGGTTTACATCACACATCATCGTGACTTGGCTTTGGTCACAACTCAAGAAAGTTATGGAAACTTTGGCAACGTTTATTCTTGCAGCCTGCGTAACACCATTGGTTGTTGCAGTGGTCACCTTTTGTGCTCTCCATCTGAAGGGTCCATGTGGAGGTAAAGAAGAGATTGATCGTAAGGAATACGCTCAAAAGATTTTACATGAGCTGGAAATGAATTCTGGGTACTTCTACTTCCTTTATGGCAGGTTTGTAATGTTTTATTTCTTTAACATTTTAACGCTTATGTTTATTTTCTAATAGCCATGCCTCGGGAAAGTCGACGTTAATAAAAAAGGCTCTCAGCTTGAAACAACGTGGCTACATTTATGTGCATATGCACGAAGGGGTGAACGTCCGAGACACGAGAGAATGGCTAAGTGAAAAAATCTTGCAACAACTACCCTTTGGATTGCTTTGGAGCAATGTCCTATCCAAAGTCGACTTTTTCACTCGAATTCTCCCAGGTGTTGCTTGGGTATATGGTTGTCTACATGGCAAGACACCTATCATGCTGGTAGTGGATGGTGTCACAGCTTTTGACGATAAATCCGAGGCCCTTCGTTCGATCCTAGGAGTTGCCAAATACGTCGCCGACAACAGGCTCGCGTCGTTTGTGATTGTGGGAAGCGGAGGTATAGCAATTTGGCTCAAAATTGTGGCAGTTAATGATTTTTCTTTATTGTCTGTATTGCAGGTGAGCTAGTGTACATCTCTCGTATATCGAGTGCCTTGTCTCGAGCTAGAATGTTACGAGTGGAGAGCGTTAGCAAGAAAATCCTAGTGGAGTACATCATGAAGAAATACAAGGAGCTGGAGAGTCGAGAGTCGGAGGTAACTAAGTTCTTGAGAGTTATCTCCTTTTTTTGAGCTTGTGTTTCAGGTACACGAGCTATTACGCTTGACAGGCTCAAAGATCCTTAGCATCAACCTCTGGGCACGAATGCTTCTTCATAAACCAATCGAGCAGGTATGCTTGACAGGCTCGGAATTAACTTCTAGTCACTTATGCCTTGAGCAGGTTAAAGCAGCATACATGGAAGAAGTAGTGTACCATTGCTTCGCACGCGCAGGACTGCTCGATCAAGAAAATCGCCCGTGGGTGGTCAAGTTGCTGGAAGCACTTCGAGGCAACGGTGGGAGGTTGCACGTCAGAAAGCTACAGAAGATTGTGCCGCTTTCCAAGGTCTGGAAAAACATAGAATTGTGAGAAATAACTTTTGTTTGTTCTTCAGGTGTTGCGAATTAACAGTAGCAATCTTTTCTCCATCAATGAAAAGCGAGAACTTTGTTTCGAATCTGAAGTCTACATGGACTATGCAGAGGAAATACTTGCAGAGGACTATGCAGGTAAATATTTATCTCGGATATTGTAATTATCATGCTTATGCGTGGGTGCTATGCAGTGACTACAAACATGAAAAAAACTGAGTAGAAAAGAACAGTATTAAGTCCAACTGGTAGAGGTGATTTTCGGTATAGTGACTACAAGAAGTAGAGAAGACGGTGTTAAGTCTGACTGAGGCAATTTTGGCTATAGATGCTATATATACATATGTACAAGGATATATAATGTGGAAGTGAATTAGCCACCAGGAAGAACATCGTTGTGGAAGGCTTCAAACAAAATGGGAATAGGAACACTCATAAGTAGACAGACGACTGCCAACCAAAGCAGTGTCCTCTCTTGCTATAGCCAGACACTTGCGCGACGCAAGCAACTGACGAGTAAAAGTTTCTCAAAGATTTAACACGAGCTTTCCTGTGCACGGGCGAATGGCGGCTTCTCGTTTGAGCGGGTCTGACACTGCGAGGATCCCATAGAGGTTGTGACCAACAGTGACTGCGCCCGTCCTAGCCCGCTCTTCGACTTCACGCAAATAAGCGGCCGCTTGCTGTGGTATGCAGATTATGACCTTTGTGTTTCCCACCTGTTTGATTGTTGAGTACAAAACGATCTGAAAAGTGGAAGAAGCCTTTGACAATGCAGTTTACACAGAAATTATGCAGCTAAAGTCCCAGGTTCTAGACAGATTCTGGCGTCGAGGAAACCACCAAATGGTGGCCTGTGCAAAACCAAAATCACAAATTCATTAACTTAAGAAGAAAAGAAGTAAATAAAGAGGAATACAAACCTCAGCATTTGATCTCAGACTTGCAAGTAAGCAGCTAAGGAAACACGGCTTACATCGTCTGGAGCTTTCGAATAGGAGTTTCACTGCTTCGACGGTGGCGAGCACGAAAATCCCAATTGGAGCCCAGCAGAAAATCGACGGTCCGTCGATTATTAGCTTAACAATTTGACTTGCTCAACGCGGTGCTGTGTCAAATGTGTACCAAGTTCACGGAGGCTGTCAAGGAGTATGACAGCATTATCTGGCTGATAAGTTTTCCACTCTCTCTTTTTTTATCTCCATCGCAGGCCTTTTTTTGTGCCACAGGGTCCATGGAAAACGACGATACGTTCAAAGAATGCGTTAAAAGAAAAAGAGGAAGAAAGAAGAGTTACATTTTGCTTCATATATCACAGTCATAGGAGGTATGCCTTTTCTTGTTCTTCCTGGTGGCCATTTTGTGGAGGAATTGAGATAATGCATAATCCACTCTCTTATGTTGCTACCCCCTTAAAAGGATAGCGGCGAGATCATTTCTAAATGCAAATGCGTTTGTGGAGCGACACATGTGCCTGTCGACGACCTCCTTCCATGGTGTGATGCAATGAGTCGAGAAAGAATAATCTAATACATCGTTCACAGATATGGAGTCAGTGTTGCCTCAAAAGCAGCCTCTCCTGTTCTATTGGCAGCGAGGGATCAATTGCAGACCTGGGAGAAAGTTGTTTTGATGGAGGTAAGGATGCCTAGGTACTTTTCCTCAATTTCGATGCTCCAGTTACTGACTTGGTAAACTAGACTATTCAGGCTAGCAAATGCCATGGATGCCTGACGGAATTGAACCTTATGGAGGGGCCCCTCATCCAATTGGAGATGGTTTTATGATGAGTACGATTACAAGGAAAGAGATTCGGAGCGGAGAGATAGCAGCAAGGATAGTGGGGTGAACAAGCCATCGTCTGATCGAGATCGAGGCGAGAGTTACAGATCGAGAAGTTCTTACAAATCATCCTTGTCGGAGGAGAGGAGGCGAGGAGGATCCAAGGAGAGTGTCGGTGTTTCTAAGGGTGAAGCAGGAGGAGCAAGAGCAGTAGAACCACCACAGCCACCACAAAAGAGAAAATAAAATGGAGATTTCGTGAATATTCTTTGAGAAGTACAACGGTCAATTGCCTCCTGGCATACATTGATATAAAGTGGTTAAATTTGTGAACGCTAAACTCTTCCACAGTCGTCTTGACTTACGGTAAAATGCCGGATCAAACAAGATCCAATATCTATTGATGTAGCCCACAAGTAGACCTTGGGAGTTGTAAGCTCCACAATGAGTAGATAACTTAAGCAGCCCTCTGGGAAGTCGAACTCGAACACACGCCGCTCCAAGCATGGAGCTTGTCATTGAGTGCTTTGCAACCATCTCCACGAGCAGCTCATGGCTGGGCTTACTCATCTTGAGCACTGGTTTCCTTGTCCAAGATGATCAGTTCTGTTGCTGAAGAGGATGATGCTCTTGCAACACTTCAGCAACAGAACTGATCATCTTGGACAAGGGAAGAAGGAGAGATCCGCGTCTTGGTCTCAGAGCATGTCATGTTCTATTGTATACAATACAGCTATTTTGCTATGGATCTTACAATGGATGGGGTGTGGTCGACGCAATTCGCGGCTCCAAATCGCTGCCCAGTGCATGGACAAGGACCCGTTGGAGACCGGGCTGGAGGTCTTGACACAAGCCTAGATTACAGGAGGTCTAGATTACAGTGCTTATGTTTTAGACTTTCTCCTTCTTGGGAAAAAATAAATTAAAAATATAAAAAAATATGTTTCAAATAGAATTAAAAAAAAGTCAACAAGTTCATTTTTTGGTCATAATCAATGCAATGTGCATAGCAGATACCTTGATTTTCTTCACTAGCACACGTCCCATGGCAGATATATTGATATGCTGCAGTAGCAGCCATACCAATCTGCAAGGCATCTCTATCAAGAACAAAAAGCCCAAATACATAACCAATAAATAAGGGACCACCGCACAACAAGGTAATGATCAAAGTGGCAAGTGAAAGGTGATATGCGCCCTCAAAAGATATTGTCGCAAGGACATAGAGAAGTCCAAGTGTGTAGTCCACCAAGCCCATTTTCACTTCTCCAGTTTTTTTATCAGCTCTCTCGTTAGCTTTGGCTTGTGCTCTCCCACGAAAAGCTCGTAGGTTGTTTCGTTGAAAAAAGAACCAATCTGAGATCAAATCTTTAATAAAACCTAGTCTTACCTTGCGACAAGCTTCACTCCAATGTACATTGGCACTGTGCACAGAACTCGACTGCACACCACAATTCGTCCAGTGATAGTTGACATAGTGACCCTAAACCCTGAACCCCACTTTATATGGTTAAATGGAATTCATGATACTAGTCGTCAATGGTGTCAGAGCTTTTGATGACAAATCCGAGGTTCTCCATTCGATCCTAGGAGTTGCCACGTCGCCAACAACAGGCTTGCTTTGTGATCGTGGGAAGTGGAGCGGCAATTAATGGAAAATGCTAATGGAATACATCATGAAGAAATACAAGGAGCTAGAGAGTCGAGAGTCAGAGGTAACTAAGTCCTTGAGGGGTTTGAGTTTGTGTTTCAGGTATGCAAGCTATTACAATTGGCAGGGTCAAAGATCTTTAGCATGGACCTTTTGACACCGATGCTTCCTCATAAACCGATCGAGCAGGTATGCTGGAATTAACTTCTAGATTAAAGCAGCATACATGGAAGAAGTAGTGTACAATTGCTTCGCATGTGCAAGAATTAACTTTTGTTTGTTTTTCAGGTGTTGTGAATCAACAGTAGCAGCTCACCATCAATGAAAAACAAGAGTTTTCTTTTGAATCTGAGATATACATTGACTACACAAAGGAAATACTGAGCTAAGTATTTATCTCAGATATTGTAATTATCATGATTATGCCTGGGTGCTTTGGAGTGACTACAAAGCTGAGAAGGACTAACAATTGCAGCACAGCAATTTCTGCTACAGACACTATATATCTATGTGTATGCACGAGGATATATAATATGGAAGTGAATTATTCAAACATCATTGCCACCTGGAAGAACGTCATTGTGGAAGGCTTCAATCAAATGGGAATAAGAATGCTCAAACAGGTGAGATGGTTTCATATGCTTCATCAGTGCAATATGTTTTTTATATGGTTTTAGAATTTGGTTTTCCTTTATGGGGTATTTTTATTGGTTTTATATAGTGGTTTTGTAGGGATGATTTATTAACATTTAAATCTTTAGAGAAGATTGTCCTAAAGCTAGGTATTTCATCCACTTGTGACTGACCCATGTGAAGTTTTTTTTTACTAAATACTCTTGTTAATCATCCTAACACAATGGTTGTATAGTCATAATCTTCTTCTTTGTTGAGAATAGCATCACAAAACCATAACTTTGAGCATCTTAATATCACCCACTTGACATCTATTGTACAATCTTCCAGAATTAGTTGAAAACTTGTATAATAAGACAAAAGTGTCAATGTCCTTTTGAGATCTCCTTGCTCAAGAATTCCCCACTCAATATGTTCATTTGCAAAAAGGCATCTTCAGTATATTTAACTTTAATTGAATCATTAGATGAAATTTAAAATACATAAATGAAATGCCCTTTAATGGAAATAGTGTCCCAGGATATAAACTAGATTTAGAGAGTTCTCTTCTAAATTGGGAGCATTGCCTAGTTATAGTGACAATTATGGAAGAACACATATCTCCCTCAAATGTATTTAATTGGAAGATATAAGTGTGATCAAATGTTATTTGATGAGGGGTTAAGATTTGCCATCTGATTTTAGTATCTATTTGAGGTGATGAATGGGGATTTGGACAAAAGAACCTGCAAAACCTAGATATAAACTTGTGCTACTTTAAGAGCTAGAAATTCAAAAGATAAATCTTACCAATAGTATGTTTTCAAGAGAAAAACTTGAATTTTTTTGTTCATAGTGACTAAGATTTCTTCTATTTTAATTTTTTTAATGAGTTGCCTTTATGATTTAAATCTTTTGTTTGAATTTTGTTTAAAAATTATCAAGAAAATGCAAATTACTCAATAAAGTGTATTTTTTGTACTCATTATTGTGGCACAGAACCCCAAAAATACTATAAGTAATACTTGTTTGTCTGACATTTGACAAACCTAAACTCTAGTTTGTTATAGACAAAATTTCCAAGCATGTGAAGCTTGCTACTTATTTCTGTAGTTGTAAAAGCTTAGATATATGATTTGACCATGATGACTCGATTTGAAATTAACACATTACCATGTTGGATGAAATTAGAAGCTAGTTTTTTCTCAACCATTCTAGAGGCAATAAACTATTAGACTCCTTGATTAGTAGTAAATGCATCTTTGTGAAATAAACTCTAAAAGCAAAGAAA